AAGGAAGGAAGGAAGGAAGGAAGGAAGGAAGGAAGGAAGGAAGGAAGAAAGAAAAGAAAAAAGGAAGGAAGGAAGGAAGAAAGAAAGAAAGAAGGAAGGAAAAGTGAAGAAGAAAGGAGCTTAAAAGAGATAATTAGAAAGAGAAAGAGAGAAAAGAGAAATGAGAGGAGAAGAGAAAGGGAGAAAAAAAGAAAGAAACCCGATCGACCAGCTTCCCATGGGATCATTTTTTTAAAGCCTCTGTCAGCTGCATTGAATAAGAGCAACTTTCTGGCTTGTACCCAATTCTGTCCAGCTGATTTTGGCCCAGGGCTGCTCTTCAGGCCCACCTGTGTAGATTCGGCCCAAATATCCAAGGGAAGAGGTGAGTTGAGGCAATTATCTGACTAATTCAGGCCCAAGAAATCTTGCAGTTGGAGGAACAGTATCATGAGGAGCTGAATAAAACAGAATATGTATCTGAATATGCACAGAATTCAGCAGAACAAGGGCCCTGAATCTGAGAAGCCCCCACCATGTCTCTCCAGTTATCTTTGGGTAAGCGCAAATCATATTCAAAATACTCTTTGAAAAAAAATATTGCTTGAATTTACTTTTTATATGTGTATACACATAAATACACATACAAACACATTGCCACATATATAGTACATCTTGCATAGGCACCTATGTGCATATGTACATTCACATTCACATTTATCTACCTACACATGTCCAAAACATGCATATGTGTACATGTATATCCATATGTAGCTGTGTATTTGTGTATAGACATATATACACAAACCCATGGAATTCTCTACACATATACGTATGCATATATAAAGTGCATACACATGCATGCAGATTGTACATGTATTGCATGAGGATATATATTCATCATGCATATATATACATATATGTGGATATTCTACTGTGTCTGCACATACTCTTGCATGTGCACACAGAATATGTTCATATATCCCTGTGTGTGGTTACACAGATACATGTACATGTGTACGTGCACATCTATACATACAAACAAATGATTAAAGACAAACATAAAAATTATAACTAGGCACATACACATATAAACAAATACTTATAAGCATACACATATAATACTTGGGGGAAAATTAGTGAAAATAAATGATGTTGGGATGTGAAAACTCCAGAAAGGTCAGGGATCACTGGTGTAGATCTTTTTAAAAGTTTCTATGGGGTGCTTCTACCATAACTACTCTCCCCACTCTCCCCCACCCCAACGGAGAAAAAGCAAGGACTTTCAGAAAGGATGTCAGTGTCTGTTTTCCTGTTTCCATCCATGCTGGTGATTATTTTTACCTTTGTGAGATATTGAGAGAAATTCAATGTTTCCCCTTGTCTCTCCTTTCCAGCCCACTGTGAATCTTTGTTTTTAGGACCCCTATTGTTCCCCAAGCCCTTGATATGGAGGTTGCCTTTCCAAAAGAAGCCATTTTGTAGGTGATATTCATTGTGCCTTCATTTTGATTTTGTTTTAAAATCCTATCTGATCACATCTGGGGGCGTGAAAGATTCTTTTAACAAAGCTCTCTCTCCCTCCATCCCCCTTCCCACATATAGATGTCCAAGGGCTGAACCATGGCATGGATGATGGTGATGGTGGTGGTGTTGATCATCCTATGATGATGCTTAAAGCTAATGACTTCACAGCAACAATGAAGACAGCTCACATTTCTAGAGCATTTTAAGATTTACAAAGCACTCTCCTTACAGCTATCATGTGAGGTAAGAAGGAAAAGTATTGCCATTTGCCTTATATAGATAGAGAAGCTGAAGAACAGAGAAGCTAAGTGACTTGCCTAGGATCATGTAGTTACTAAGAATGGAAGGCAAAATTTGAGCTCAAATCTTTTGACTCTAAAGCTATATCTGTCTTTTATGGAAGGAGCCAGTCCTCTCAGCCGAACCTCAGTTCCACTCAGAGTTTTCCTTTGATTTTAACCTAACAATGGTCCCATACCTCAGTATCACTTGTGCTTCCTTATGTCCCCATGGTGTTCCCTGGCTGGACTTCCACCCCTGCCTTCCAGACAGGTTGTTTCCTTACAGAAACAAACAAGGAAACGGTTCCTCCCAGGTCGTTGATACTCAAAGGACGCTTCTTGTAAACGAAAATATACAAACATTAACCTGCCTGCCCCAGAGGTGCCATCGTGGACCTTGGGGAAGTGAGCATATCAGTGAAGTGAACATTTTTTTACAGCTCTGTCATGCAGAAGTCATGAAATCAATGGCTTTCGATGAGAGTAAGTACTGAAAAAGAAAGTACTTCAAGCTTGGCTTCTAGCCTCAGTTCTGCCATTAAATTACTGGATTACCTGGATCAAGATTTTTGCCTCTCTGGGCTTAGTTGCCCCATCTGTAAAAAGGAGGAGTTAGATGATCTCCAAGGTCCCCTCCATCCTTAATATTCTATGTTCAAAATTTCTTAGTGTTAACACTGTATGTTCTAAAATTCTTTTCCCTAAGGTCCTTTGGCTTTGAACTCCAGGTTGTCTAACAATTGCCACTGGTTGTTTTCATTAGCTTCACACTTTTTTTTTTGAGGCCTAAGTGAAGGGTTAAGTGACTTGCCCAGGATCACATAGAAATTACATGTCTGAGGCTGGATTTGAACTGAGGTCCCCTTGACTCCAGGACTGACTCTCTATTCACCACACCATCTACCTGTCCTTAGCTTCACATACTTCTGAACTGTCATTTCACAACCTTTTCCCCAGATATGGTACTGGCTCAAATATAGGCCTTCCACAAATAGGCCACAACCCCCACAATAAAATTTCCTTGAAAGAAAAAATATAAAATGCTTTTTAATTTATCACATAAATTTAAAAAAATTATACTAATCATTGGCACTGCAGTTTCAAACAAGCTATATTTGGAAGAGGGGGAAGTACAGCCTATATCTGGACCAATTTGGGTTTCAGATTCTAATACAATTATTATTAGCCTTCTGTCTAAGCAGGTACACTGTCTTTGAGCAACAATCAAGCTTTTTAAGTTAAACCAGCCTAAATAGGATTCTGGAACACAAGCTGATCATTAGGGGTGATGGTTTCTTCTTACTGTCATGCTCATCTTTGGCATGGGTCCAATGCTCTGTAGATTATTTAATCTTAGAGATGATCTAATGTAGCCTCCAAAATGAGGCAAGGAAATTGAAACACAAAGAGGAGAAATCACCTGCTTATGGTAAAGTTGTTGAACTGGGATAGACCCTGTTTTTGGCTTTTAAACTATCAGTCTAGTATTCTTTCCACCATGGCATGGTTATTATTAACTACCTCTATGAGATGGATCTATGGTTCACTTCTCCCATTCTGTAGCCGAGGTGATAGAGGTCCAGAGAGTTATATCAACTATCCCCAGGTCACAGAATGATAGAGGCAAAGCTTAAGCCTTTAGAATCCACAACTGGTCAGCTGAGCTATTCATCTGTTTATGCTTATGGGGACTACCTGGCCTGATCTGGAATGGGAAATGAACCATCCTTCCTTTGGGAGAAAAGGAAAAAATGCCATTTTATAAAAAATAATAATAATATACACCAAGAACTATTAAAGAACCTGCCACTGCAGATGCTGACTAACTCAGTCTAGGAAATAAACCAGAATCAGAGGGACTCACTGATGGACTACAGCAAATGAAAGATCTCCCAGAAATTGAGATAGTTATGGCTAGCAGAGAGCATGATGGCTTCTTTGGAACTGTCCTGAAAGGGAGGAAGGTAGGCTCCTAAGATGTTCCTGCAGACTGGGAAATGGTCTCTTCTTATTTATGCCCCTTATTAGTTCTTTAAACCTACCCAATTTATTTCTCCTCACAGAATCTCAGTTTCCTCATCCATAAAATGGGGATAATAATCCTTAGACTACCTCCCTCTTGAGATTATGAAGAAAGTGATATGTAAACTGTAGAGTGCTAGGGAAATGTGAACTAGTAATGTTATTGCCATTATTTTTGCTGTTATTATGCAAAATTGCTGGAGATTTTTTCTTTCCCAAGAATCTTTCTGACATAATTATATGCCACTCTGGGATATTGCTTTCTGCAATTAAACCATGACCTAAGAGGCTAAATCCCACACCTACCACATTTCAGCTGATCAAAAGAAGTGTGCTAATATATAACCACCTAGAAACCATAATAAGCAAATAATGAAGGATAGGAACAAGACCTGTGATTTCACTAGCATAGAAAACTCCTAGAAGAGGATATTATTCCCTCTACCAATATGGGCCAGCATCTTTTCTTTTCTTTCTTTTTTTTTTTTTTGGCTAGGCAATGGGGTTAAGTGACTTGCCCAGGGTCACACAGTTAGTAAGTGTTATATGTCTGAGTCGGTATTTGAACTCAGGTCCTCCTGAATCCAGGGCCAGTGCTCTATCCACTGTGCCATCTTGCCAGCACCTTTTCTGCAACTTGTAGTCTTAAAGAGTTGCCTATGATACTAAGGGATCAAGTGACTTGCCTAGGGTCACATGACCAAGTATTCATCTGAGGTCTTTCTGACTCTGAGATAAATTCTTTCTCCATTATGCCATGCTGCTTCTAGAACAAATAAGTGTGATCCTGACATCTGAGTTTCTCTCCATAAATTAGTGTGCAATTACCCATCTATCTACCTCCACATTGACATTGCTCTCTACTCCCTAGAATCTCTTCTCTGCCCAGTGAAGGGTTAAAAAAGGAGAAATAAGGATCTCTTTGGGGCAGCTAGGTGTTGAAGTGGATAGAGTGCCAGACCTGGAGTCAGAAAGACTCATCTTTCTGAGTTCAAATCATGCTTCAGGAACTTACTAGTTGTGTGACCTTGGGCAAGTCACTTAACCCTGTTCGCCTCAGTTTCCTTGTCTGTAAAATGAGCTGGAGAAGGAAATGGCAAACCGCTCCAGTATCTTTGCCAAGAAAATCCCAAATGGGGTCACGAAGAATCAGACAGGACTGAAACAACTGAACAACAACAAAAGATCCCTTCTGCCGGGGAAGCAGACAACCCTGAGAGAAATGCCCAAGACTAAGCATGGATGGAGCTGGTGGACACAGCCCCAGTCTGCCCAAGAAGGGAGAGGGAACATCATAATGGAGAGAACACTGGAGTACGCAGTCAGGAGGCATGAATTCTATCAAGGCCTGACTCTGCCACTAACTTGTGGTTTACCTTGAGCAAGTAAGTCACCTCTTCATTCCTGGCTTCAGTTTCCTCAACTGCAAAATGAGCAAACTGAATTAAATAACCTCTTAGGTCCCTCCTAACCCTAACATTCCATGTTATATGTCAGTGTTCTAACAGTCTACATTAATCTCTAAGGTATTCCATGTTCTAATGTCCCTTCCTAAGGTAACATTCCCACAAGCTCTTAACAGTCTGTGTCCTAAGAGCTCTTTCAGGCCTACTGTCCTAACACTATATTCTAACATCCTATACTGTAAGGCCCTTCTTGTTCTAATATTCTAGGATTTTAAGGAAGAATCTTTAACAGCTTCCATAGTCCTTGAATTCTAGGAGAAGGGGCAAGCAGGATTATTGGCATAATGAATTTGGATAGAGTGCTCCAGAGAAAAGTGGAGTCCATGAAGAAGGAGTTTGTCCTATTTGCCCTTTATAGGGAGGAGAGAAGAGCACCTGAAAATTCTGGTGATATATTTGCTCAGCTTTGGGGATTTCACCACCCTCTGCCATTACCTTCTCTAATAACTCAGGGTTGAATGGAGCAACTGGAATCTAATTGCCAGATGCTCTGAGACCTCTTCCTTCACCTCTGTGTTCAATGTTACTTCCATCATTGGTCAAGAAGGGTCAGAGAAAAAGAGCTCAAATCTGTACTTTTCTCCTGCCTCGGGGGGGGGCTGGCTAAGGAAGGAGGCTGAGTCAAAAGAGAATTTGGACATCTGGCAATTTCATCGATTCTACTTCTTCATAGCCAAATATCCTTGAAGGTAACTGCTCAACTGAGCTCTGGGTAGCAGCTCACAGAATCACAAGATCTTGAGCCAGAAGGGGGCCCTTAACTAAAGCATGAGTCCCCTTGAATATCTCTTGACAAGTGGTTATCTAACATCTGTTTGAACACCTGACAGAAAATCCACTGTTCCATGAGGTAGCCAGATTTAACTTTTAGAAGGTCTTCCTTATTTTGGGTTGAAATCTACTTCCCTGAAACTTTCATCTATTAGTCCTACTTTTGCTCACAGAATCAAATAGAAGAAGTTCACTCCATTTCCCAACAGGCAACAGAGCAAATCCCCTTTCTGGCCCTCCAGATTAGGTGAGGAGGAAGAAATGAACAGACCCCAACTTTCCTAGTCTTTCTTTTAAGACTCCAAAGTGGTAGACACCAACTCATCATCAGATCAACACCAGGCATAGATTTTGAACCTATTGTGTACAGTAGCTCTTTGATCAGGCTTTGAGTGGCAGAAGGATCATGGTTCATAGATGGTTAGAAGTGGAAGGAAGGGACTTTAGCTGAGGGAATATTATAATTTGGAAGGCAGGCTGTTAAAACTGGAGGAAAAGTGGGAACATAGAATGTTAGACCTGGAAAGGATCTGTTTAGAATGGGTCTATGATTTAGAATGTTAGAGCATAGAGTAAAGACTGCGAGAGCTGAAAGAAACTTTGGATATCTATCTCCTTTCATTTTACAAACAAGGAAACCAAGGCTCAGAGAGAAGTGACTTGTCCAAGAAGGTAAGAGGCAGAACCATGACACGACCTCCTTTTCTGATTCTCAGTTTAAAGCCCAGGCTTCTTGGGAAATGACAGATGTCCAATGATTCTGAAAGCTCTAGCATCCCCCTCATTGATCCTTTCCACTTCCTTGGGAGACGTGGGAGCGCCTGCTTGTGGTAGGGGTGGTGAGTGTCCCATGGGCTGTTCCACCAGTGAAGCCAATACTCCCCACCTCTCCCAAATTCCCTACCCCCTCCTAAAAATAAGGGGTAGGGGCACAGAAATTGGATACAAGGGCAGCATTTTCTAAGCATGGGTAATAAAAGAACTAGAAGAAAACTTGCACAAAATTTTAAACAATCCTGTCCCGAGCTGAACTCGGTTGTTGAAGTCTCCTGGGCAACTCCTGTCGAGCTCCCATCTCAGTTTTCTCTCCCGCTTGCCCTTCTCTCCCTCTTCTCTCCCCATGAAACACCCCTAGTTCCTGGAGGACATAAGAGAATGGAGGAAGAGGTGAGGTAAGGGCTCAGGCAGAGAGCTGATTTTTTGAAATGGGTCAGTGGTCTCTCAAACCCAAACAAAGGGAGAAAATGGAGACAGAAACAGGTCCTTGTAAGGGCAAAGAAGCGCATCAGCTCGGGATTGGCTTTTTCAGAGTTCACTCAGCTGACGTCACAAAGTCATCTCTGGGGAGCTGGAGGAAAGAAAGTGACATCTCTCTTCTCCCCTTAAAATAGTTCTTCGATCATATAATAATTGAAAAACTTTTTTTTATTGTGACTTGGCTTTCAGTCGCCAGCCTCCATCTCCCCCAACACTCCAACACTCAGAGAATCCAGACCACCTACTACAATCCTCCATTTTACAAATGAGGGAAATGGGGTCCAGAGAAGGAAAGTACCCTACATTTAGTAGGTATTTAATAAATACTTGTTGAGTTACCCAAGGTCTCCCAGCTTTTTAAGGAGAGAGCCGGATTTAGAACTTCAGATTGCAGATCCAGTGCTCTTTCCACTACAGCATTGTGTGAAAGAGTAATTGCACAACTTTCCTAGGGCATTCCCTCCCATTATTCCCAACTCCAGACTCTAGTGACCCCAAACTCTCCTCTTCCAGGCTCTGAAACTCTGAGCTTTCGCCTCTTTCTACAACCCTTCTCCCCTGCCCCCGGGACCGCAGCTCCCCTAAGAATTGCAGGAAAGTCCAGCACTGGACCTAGAGCCCAGTTCTCTGTGTTGGCTGGAAGGAAACCTTTGAGCAGAAAGCTGTTTTAGGGGCACCCATAGCCAACCCGCTCCCCAAGAATGTATCCCAGCGATCCCTCCTTGTCCTCAGTCGGAAATTACAAAGCTGCGTATTAGAAATTAATGCACTTTAATCTTTGAAACAGTCATTTATTATTCATTTCCACCACAGAAGCAAATATGTTCTATCTGCCCCTGATTGACAAAAAAAATTGCAAGTTTCTATTTCATTTTTTCGGGTAAATATTCAGAGCAGTCTCTGAACTTTCTTAGTGTCTTAACTCAGCAAGGGAGTCAGTTGGCTCAACTCAACTCACTTTTGCCTTTCCCTGGAAAGCCTACCCACCACCAAGGTAGGGTGGGGGACTGAAAGGGTAGGGGGAAAGGGGAAAGACTAAATTAAATGAATAACTACAGTCATTAACATTAGAGGAAACTCAATCCTGAGAGTTACAGGGATAAAAGAGAAAGAGTCAGAGAGATACTGAGAAATAGAAAGAGACACCAAGACACAAAGCAGAGATAAAGATACAGACGCAGACAGAGGCAGAGAGAAAGGGAGGAGTAGAGACAGAGAAAAGGCTGGAGTGCAGAGACTTGTGGGGGTGGGGGGGTGAGAGGAGGCTCTGGTAGAAGAGGACTCATAAGATAAAAACAGAGGGGAGGGAGCAGAGAACCGGTGGGGAGGAGGGCAAACACAGGCAGAGAGTATGTGTGTCTTGCACGTTGTAGACACATAAAATGCTTTTTGGATTGAATTAAAGTGAGAAACAAGGCGGAGGGAGGAATCTTATATTCTTCAGAGTTGAGAGAGACCTCGAAGTCCAGACCGAAAGACAGAGGGAAAGGGTTCAGAAGAGATTGATTGATAACAGAAGAGTATAGCATAAGGGAAGAGAAACAGGAAGAATTACTCTCTGGGCCTCGTGTCTCCTGTCCATAAAATTCCAGAATTAGACTAGATTGTCTTTTAAGGATCCTTCCAATTCTAAAATCCTATGATCCTAAGGAGGAGTGGAGGAAACAGATAAAGAAAGGGACAAAATGACCCCAATGGCAGAGAGACCAAGGTGAAAGAAAAACTGAGACAGAGAAAGACAGAAAGGAGGCAGGAGCAAAAAAAAAAAAAAAGGGAGGGGGGGAACAGGATGCTAGAGGAAGTGATCTAAAGGGAACAGAACCAGGATTTCTCCGAGTTTCCTTTTCTTTTGTGTTTATCTGGTTTTTTACCTATCCAGAAGATTTTTTTCCTGGGCTTCCATAGATCTGGCCTTTAACATTGGAGAAAGCTAGAACCTATGAGATCTCAGGGAAAACTCCAGAGGCCCACGAGTTTGGGTGTGTGAGCATGCACTGTGGGTGTATTGTGTGTTCTGTGCTGTGTGCACTGCTATGTGTTGGGTGTGACGTATCCCGAGGACTACTTAGTGTGGGTTGCTGTTTTGTGTATCATATTGCATAGCTGTTTAATCTGAGGTGGCCACGATCCTGCCTCCCATTACTTACTCCCACTCCTTACCTGGAGGACTCTCTTGGTGAGACCGGTCTTCTGTGCGAGCTGTTTCAAGTCCTTGGCGTCGGGGTTATGGTTAATAGCAAAATAGGACTTCATTGTCCTCAGCTGGTGATGTTTGAAGGAGGTCCGCATTCTCTTAGTCTTCTGGCTGCTGGGGTACTGCTGGTCCCTGTCCAGATGGTCCCCGTCATTTTCGTTGCAGCTCAGTGCTAGAGAGGAGAAAGGTTCAGAGGTGAAGGGTGGAGTGAGGAGGAGGTTTATGCTGCCCTCAGATTAGGGCAGAAGACATTTCCCTAGAGCAAGCCTGCATCTTCAAGGTCCAGGGAGCCAGAGGGTTCCTGCCAGACTAAGTCTAAGTCTGCAACAGTGCCCAATCACCAGGCCAGCAAAACTTACTAGACTCCCCATCCAAATGGAGTAGAATCCAGGTTCTGAGATGTCAGGCTGTTGTCAGTCAGCTTCAGTCTGACACTGTTCCTTCCAGGCCTTAAACAAATGTACAGGAAAACTATAGTAGCCCCTCTGGGTCTCACGGTCATAGCTCCTAGGATCAAAGGATTTAGAGCTGATTCAAAGGGCATAGAGTTCAATCCCTTCCTTTTATAGATGAGGAAACAGAGGCCCAGAGAGGGGAAGTGACTGGCCCCAAATCACATCACTAGAAAGCAGCAGAATAGGGATTTGAACACAGGCCCTTGGATGTTAAATTATGTTCTCTTGCTACTACATCAGCATTTGTGAACTTCAGGTGGAGTTTCTATATTGTGTTCCTATGTTTATGGTCTATCTGAAGCTTTGAGATAATATAAGACACCTGACTGATCATAAAAATAAATCCTTATGAGCCAGAGATTGAATTATTCTGGCATTCAAAATACATGTATCATGGTAAAGAATGGAGAATCTAAAATATATATATATATAACAATTACATAAAATAATAACAGCAGTAACAAAAATACATGGAATAAAAAGTGAACAGGAAAAGAACATGGAAGCAAAGAAGATGTTTAAATTGTTTTTGTCAAGATTAATACACATTTTAAAAAACAAATAATTTGGAATTTATAAGCTTATTACACACATCTTATTTTGTTTTGCTTGTTATTAAGTTCAGAATAAATTTTATATATAAATATGTGAATTTATTCTTAAAATCACGTACATTATAAAGTTTCCTTCTATGTGGTGGGTGGGGCCTAGGCAGAGCTGCCTGTAATATATTCCTTTTTAGAATTTAGACCTGGAAGGAACCTTATCAATCATTGAATCCAATATTTTCATTTTGTAAGTGAAGAAACTTCTCATTTCATGAGAAGAAATGATTAGCCCAAAGTCATGCAGCTAGGACTTGTCAGAGCCAAGATTTGAATCCCAAACTTCTGTCTCCAGGTACAGGACATTTTCCACGCCTTCCTATTATCACATCTGTGTCATGAGCTAACCTCAGGTCCTTTCAAAGGAACCAGCTACCATAGGAAAGGATAAACTTCCCTAGCCTCAGGTGAACCAGCTTCTCTATAGCTAATAGATCTCATCTCCTTCACTATCTCCATGCTTTCCAGACGCTGATCTGGGCTCACAAACACTCCTCAGCCAGGAGCAGAGAGGTGCCCTACTCTCTAGATACTTTCCAGCTAGGGACTGAATTCAGTGGTTTCCACAAAGCTTAGCTATTACCCCAGATGGGGTAGGTAGTAATCCTTTCACATTCGGTGAGAAGCTCCTTCCACAAGAGGCCAGGTCACAACTGTCACCCACTATGGGCCCACAAAGCAGGATGTCCTCTGTACCCCCTACCCCAAGGACCCACAGAACAGCGTCCTTCCCTTTGCCAATAATCCTCAGAGAAGAGCCCTGCCCCACTACCAAGAGCCCACAGAACAGGCTCCCTCCCCAATAACTCACTGAGCAGGGTCTCCCTCTTCCAAGATTCCTCAGGGTATAGACCACCTGGGAGAACCCTTAGGATCAGGCCTGGGACTAGAGCCAAAGAAGGGGGAAGAACACAGGGGTGCAATTTGGCGGATGGAAGGGGAGGAGGAGCTTAGTCCTTTAAAACAAGTTCCTGCCATTTAACAAGGAGTCAAAGGATAGTCCTTAAATGTGGTTTCAGAGAAATAATAGTTCCCATTCCTATAGTGTTTTAAGGCTTACAAAGCTGGAGCCCTTTCTTCACAATGGTCTTACAAGGTAGAAAGTACAAGCATTATTATTCCCATCTTACTGATGAGGAAACTGAAGCTCTGAACAGAAAGTGAATTGCTTAGCTAGTAAGTGTCAGAACTGGGACTCTGGCCCTGCTCCCCTAACCCTAAGTTCAACCCCAAATCTGCCAGCTACCTCCAAGGTGCCTGAGAAAAGGAGTGAGCTCAGGAACATATAATTCCTTTTATTCTCACTGATCTCAGTGCTCATCTCAGGTGATATGAAAGGGAAGGGGGGACAGGGAGAAAGAGAAGTAGTTCATAAGGATAAGAATATTGGTTTGTACGTGCATAGGACTTTCAAGTTTACAAAGTGCTTTCATATACATTATCTCATCTGATCCTCACAACAGCCTTGTGAGGTGTTCCCATTTTTACAGATGATAACATTGAGGCTCAAAGTGGTTAAATAACTTGTCCATAATTACAATGCCAGGAAATATGTTTTGCAGTTTGAGTTGAAGTCTTATTCACAAGTAAACAAGTCTCAGAGAAGGGGTGGGCTGGGGTCAGAGGTGAAAGCTGTCTCTTGGGAGCAGAACTAGGGCACAGCCTTTGTGGACCTCAGACAAAAAGCTGAAAACTGTTATCAACCTGATGCTTGAAAATTGTGCTCACATATGTTTCTGAACAGGAGCCTTCTCTACAATCATTCCCATTTCTACAACATTCCAAGATTTACAAAATACTTTTCTCCTGTGAGGCAGGTAGGTAGGCTATATTGATCAAAAAGGGACCCTGGATTTTGTTGGTGTGGGAGTTCCCTCTATCAATTCAGATCCCAACCAATCTACAACTTAGAACCTTAGAGTGTGGCTCTGAGGTCCAGAGAGGTTAAGGGATGCACCTTAGGTCCCTTTACTAGTGAGTGTCAGAAGTGAGATTTGAACTAGGATCTTTTTTTTTACTACAAGTCCAGCCCTCTATTCACCATTTCTCCATTCTTCTGTTATGGAGATAGTATAGAATTTGTTATCCTCATTTTGCAAATTAGGAATTTGAGGTTTAGGGAGCTGAAAGGACTTGCTCATGGCCACAAACTAGTATATATCATATATGATACTCTAAGTCAGGTCTCATTCCCTTGGAGATTGATCTTGAGCTCAAAGGAAACTTAGAAATCATCCAGTCCAACTGATTGTCCCATTCCATAGATGAAAAAACTGAAGCCCAGAGATATGAAATAAATAACCTTAGGTCACAAAGCAAGAGACAGGATTTGAATCCAGGTCCAAAGCACAGTAGTGTGCTTCCCAATATATGTCTCTGTCTCTCATAATATATGGTATTTTAGTTGTCATCAAATAAGGATGCAAGGGCCATAGAAGGCAGAGTTTTCTGGCATGAAAAGGACACACATTTTGAAAAGTCATGTTTAAAGAGTCTCTCCATGTGTCTCTTTGCCTATCCTTAGTTCCAGATTGACTTGAAGGGAGGGAATGGGGAGGAGGGAAAACACCAAACCATCCACAGCTGCTCCCTCAGGCATGTTCTCAAGGGGTTTCTCTCAGTCCTTCCCAGGACAGTGCCCCCTCCTTCCCTCCTTCTCTCCTTCCCTCCCTCCTGGACTTCTGTTAATGAGCTCTGCTGGGGGCCTTTGCTGGCCCAGCGTGCCCTTGGGATCCTTCCTGAGACAGGCCTGGGGGGGGGGGTTGGGTAGTCCAAAGGGAAAGAAACTCCTTTGAGGAAGGGAAGGGCAGGGTGAAATAGGAGGGAGGTAGGAGGGGCCTGAAGAGCAAGGCCCCCTCAAAGGTTGGAACTGGGGAAATGGACAGAACAAGAAAGAAATAGGAATAGGGGCAAGATACTAAAGAGGCATAAGAAAGTGAACAAGGGATAAACTGCCTCTTGGTTGTTACACGCAGGATGATCAGAAAAGGGGAAGGAGGCAGTGTAGTTTAACGGAAGAGATTTGGCTCTGATATGTGACCTTTGGCAAATTCATTTATCCACTTTGAGACTTAGCTTTCTTATCTGCAAAATGGGCATAATACTATTAACACTACCTACCTAACTTTTTAAGTGGAACAGAATTAATAGCTTATTGGGCTCAAGAGAAGCTGCTCTGGATAGCCTGGCTGAGGCCTGGCCTACGCTGGGGAAAAAGCCAGGGGAAAACTGTACAGGAGGGGATGAAGGGAGGTAGGAAAATCAGGAGATGGGGGAGATTGTAGTTAAGAGGGGGTGAGTCAGGGATCCAGAGAGTGAGAAGAAGCAGGCAGGTGGGGGGAAACGTGAGATCAGATAGAGATTGAAGTTGGAAGACTGGACTGAAGTCCCAGGAAGGAGAGTATGAGGCAGAGTGGGGTTAAGGGGAAGTAGAATGAGAGGAGGTCAGGGTAAAGAGAGAATGGGGCAGGGAGAGAAGCTGGGAGATGGGGGAAGGGATGGAATGAGGAGAGGAAGGGTGAGTTGAGGGATTAGTTCAGGAAAGGGGAGATTGGGACGGGAGGGAGGTTGGTGAAGGGGGAGATAGGGTGGGGGAAGCGTGGGTAAAGGGGAGAGGGTGGGCAGGGCTTTGGCTTTCTTTTTCCCTCTCAATTAGGCCAATTCAATAGAGCTAAAGAGCTCGTAAAATCATGAATAATTTACTCGTGATCTGTTATTAACCCATCGGGTTTCCAGCTCTTGTCGCAGGGACTGAACCTGTAATCAAATCTGACTTCGCCTCATTTTACTAAAGACGAGATTGTAGGTTCAATTGTCTGAATAATGGATTGGAATCAAATCAGTAATTACACCGCCAGGCAAAAAAAAAAGGGGGGGGGGGCGGTGGGAGGAATAAGTCACCGCCTTCCGGCCAGAGCTGTTTGCCCGGCCCCAAAGTCTGCCCGCCAAGCTGCTCCCGAGCTGCTTTAGAGCGCCCGGCTCGGCCAGGCCAACCCCATGCTGCGCTGGGCTCAGAGCTCCCCAAGGGACCGGGCGTGACTCTCCTTCTGGTTACCAGCAGCACCAACTCCACCCCCCAGCCTTCCCTCTCTTCTTCCTGGCTTCCCCCAGGGTCTAGCCAAAATTGCCCAGCCCATAATCCTCCCCTCAACCGCCCCCCACCTCCCAGAGCGCAGGCAGGCCCCTTCCCCCTGCCCGCGTTGGGGCCCAGAAAAAGAGAGGGGAGAGCTGGAGAAATTTCTGAGGAATTGGGCCACAAGGGTCCTGCCCTTTTTCATGCTTTACCCAGACTATCAGAACAGTGGGGGGAGATAGAAAAGAAGAGTTTCTGATGAATTTCTGTGCAAACTCCGAAGGGTAAGTGGGACTCCTGCGCCCTTGACAAACCTGGTCCTGCTCTTGCTAGATCCTATAGGATCATAAAATGTCAAGCTGAAAAGGAACTTTAGAGACCATCCTAGTCCAACCTCATTTTACAGAGAAGGAAATGGAGAACCAAAGAGGGGAAATGACTTGCTCAAGATTACACAGGTGGTAAGTATCAGAGACCAAATTTAAACTTAGGTCATCAGACTTGATTTGAATCATTCAGCCTGATTTTCCAAGATAGCGTCATACAACCAGGGAGACACCCCCCCCCACACACACACAGACTACAGGCCAAGGACCTCATATATATAATATGTATACATATACATTTATCTCTATGGCTTCAGGCAGGCTGCCACCTCACCCTAGATTTGCTCCTGGAGGGATTAAGGACTCCCATATCTATAAAGTTTACAAAACACTTTCCTCCAAATAGTCCTGGGAATAGGTAGAGCCTCCCTTCTCATTTCACAAATGAAGAAACTGAGGCTTAGAAAGAAGTGACTAGCCCACAGATCATAACATCCGAGTAAGTGTCAACTTTTGGATTTTAACTCATCCCAAATTTCTAAATTCAGCCCTTTCCATTACAGTGAGACCCCTGCTGGACTGAGTGACTTTGTGTCATCATCCAGGCAAACCTATATATTTGGGTTTCTCCGAATTCCTTCCTTCCTTGGCTAGGGTCCCCTGCTCCAAACCAGGCTCCCAGCATCACTTGCCTGTCTAAAGTCTCTTCACCACACGAATGAGCTTTTGGCTGACTCTAGGAGTGAGGAGAGACATTGACTACTTAGAGTCCTTGCTAATCTGACGGTCATATCTCTCCCCATTCATTTTTTAGTTACATTTTAGCTTCTTTCATGCGAATAGGAATAGACATAATACTAACACTCATCTCACATTTCTATCACATTGTAAGGTACAAAGTACTTTCCTCAGAACATTCCCATGAAGCAAGGAAGTAGTATCCCGTTTTTCATAGATAAGAAAACAGGTTTTCTTGTCCAAGGTCACACAGAAAGGAAATGTCAGAGCCCCAATTTCAATCCCAAACTCCTGACTCCAAGCTCTGCAGTCTTTCCACTACACCATTCGGCCTCTAAAAGGGGACAGAAACTAAAAGGCAGAAAGAAAACTCTTCTGAATGGAGGGAGTCTAGGGCCGACCTGCAGAGATGCTGCTTTCCTGGGAAACACTGAAAAGTGGCCCGACGTTCAAACATCAATTCAGCAGTCCTTCTTCCACCTCCCCCACCGCCCTCCCCCCCCATAACAAAACAAAATTTCAAAACTATCCTCCAGCATCTCATTCCTTTTCAACAAGTGAAGGAGGATGAACGACAACAGGGGCAGCAAACTCTTTAAGGGGGAAAAAAAAGAGACGAGAAAGAAGGGAGGGGGAGGAGGGAGAGGAGGGATGGGGGGGAGAGTGGATCTTTTTGAAGTCTTGGCTTCCTTCTAAGCTATTCTCCACTTGTCAGCCTTCATCCACATCTCAAACCCTCCAGCCAGTCTTCTACCTCACTGAGATACCAGCCCTGTGGTGGTGGTGGGCGGGGGGGGGGGGAAGGTGGGAAGAAGAAGCAAAAAAATCTCTCCCATTTACTCTACAATTTAATTCTCAACGCGGCTCCAATTGCTCCTCCCCCCACCTACCTTAAGGGGGAAAAAAAATCCTACCATCACACACACACCCTCCACCCGGAGGGAATAGTGATCTCAGGAACTGGTCCTAACTTCCACCTCAACCTGTCCATACTTAGAACTGTTTATAAACATATACAGATTTCAGTTTTATCTGAAAAAGTCAAGACGCAGCTTCAGTTTCATCCTCACGGAAAAGGGAAAAAGACTGGGCTCAGTGAGAGAAAGAAGCCAAGTCAAAACTATAACACTCAAACGAAAAAAAGCAACCCTTCCCCCCTTCAATTTTCCAAATCCACGTTCTTTGCATTCAAGATTCACGGATTCCGATTCTGAGTTTAATATTTCAAACAGAGGCTCACGAAATTCATCCTCCTCCCCCCTCTTAAAAAAAAACCCACCAACTCTCCAACCTATTTCTCTCCATCCCATTTCTTCGATGGCGTGATAAACCTTCAAAATCGCCACTGAATATAGATCATCTATATAGATGTGCTCCATCACATTTTAATCGAAGTAAACCCTCTTTAACACCGCTTCCCCGCCCCCCCCACCTCCCACCCTCCAAGATAGCAGAACAGATAGTTTTGTTTGCAGTTGTACATTAGACTGAGAGAAGGAAGACAAAAACCTCCCGGAACCGGTTATCTCGAAAACGAAATAAAAAATAATTGCAAATAAACTCTATCTATTTAGGAAGCCAGGGGGATCGTAAAGCTTTCCGGGCCTGTCCATAGCTCAGGCAGATGTCAACGGTTTAATTTACTAGTTCTCAGAACCTCAACATCTGCCTTCTAAAAGAAGGTGGCAGGAGGAGTTGGGGGGGGGAACAGAATGAAAGGCCGAGCCCCGCAAAAATTAGGGAAGAGAGAAGGAAGTACCTTCTGAAGCAGGAAGACTAAACCGAGACCTCTGGGATTCTCCGCTGGGGAGACGCGTAGAAAGAATGATGCACTCAGAAAACCTGGGTTCGAGTCACAATTTTTATTAGCTATGTGACTTTGGTCAAGTCACTTCCATTCCCTGGACTTGTTTTCTGATGAGCAAAAATGGGAATAATAAAACCTTGCATTTCCTATCTTAGCATTGCATTGCGAAGGAGAGCTTTAAAAACCATAAAGGGTTAGAGAAATGGGAGTTGTTGTAGTTAAACTGTTGAGGATCTACCTTTCCCATCTCTCTCATCTCCAACACCCTACAGTTCGTTCCCGGAGCCAAGGGTACAGAATCAGACCAGTCCCACTGCTTCCCTGGTCCCACATTTCGGAGATACGTTTCCGCTTAGTACCAGGCAATAGCTCCGCAGTGTAGGAGAAAAGTGTTCAGTGCTCCCAGCACATTGGTTTCTCAGGTACCGCGGCGAGAGCGGGTGAGGGCGGCAGGGGGCTGATCTCAGGGAAAGGGGAGGAGGGCGGGAAGACTCGGAGCCTGAGCCGAGGGACACCTGGTAAAACCAGCCGAGGTCGAGAATGGGAAACAGAATGGTTCCCTCTCTACGTCACTGATTTGGCGCCTTCTGCTCCCCCCAATTCATCAAATCCCGCAAAGTGATCCCTTCCACCTTCACCACCAGTTGGTCATCAGGAAGGTCGAATTTCTTACGTTTAAATCCGCCGCCGTCCCCCGACCCCCCTCCAGTTGCCAGTCTGTGGTCCACTACTCCTCACAGTCTTCCGTCGCCTTCCCCCTGCCCCACACCGGCATGGGCCGGAAGCCCTTCGCTGTCATCGATCGTGTTAAGGCCTTAGCAAGACCGTTCTCAGCTTCTCTCCACCCAGGCTCGGCCCTGTCCTGCCCGGGCCTTACGCTGACCAGGCCTTGCCTTGAGGTTCGCCTGGCTCCAGGTCTGAGTCCCCAGCCTGGGCCTCTCCACCCCTCCCCGCTCCACCCCGGGCACCTGCTCCCGAGCTCAGCGCTCAGCTTGCCACTGTCTCCTGTAGCTCTCAAAGTCGCTCTCCCCCAGCATGGCTTGGGCTTCGGCCGCTCTGCCGCTCCCTTCCCCAACCCCACCCCCCAAAGGCGAACAACCAAAATCAGTTCTTGGCCCTCGGAAACACGAGCTTCACATTACGGTTTTCCAGATTTCAGCTCCAGCTACACTTCTCGCTCCCTTAACCCCCAGCCCAGGCACCTGCTCCCCCGCTCGGCGCCAGGCTCTTAGAGCCCCTGCAGCTCCCTGTCCCGGCTGCTCTTGCCGGGGCTCAGGCATCCGCAGGCAGCCAGCACACTATGTTGTCTTGCGAGATCCCCCAGAGAGGATTTCTGGTCCTCTAAAGTGAGAATTTACCATCTCTGGCCTTCATCTTTCAACTCTAGCCACATTTTTCTGCTCCCTCCCTTCCAGCTTCCCGCACCTGCTCCCCCGAACTGCCCGGCCTTCTGCAGCTCCCAGATCTGGCTTGTCCAGCCAGAGCCGGCCCTTACAGCCTGGGCTAACGTGCCCCCCTCCTAAGGCGAGCTACCAAAGGGAATTCACAGCCCGGCCCTCGGAAGTGCTAATTTACAAGCTCTGCCTGCCTTCCAGATTTCAGTTCCAGCTACCTTTCTTTTCTCTCCTTTTACCTACTAATCATGAAAAGTCCCCCCTCCTGTTTTCTCCTTAACCAGATGACCTCGCTTCCAAACTCCCTCCTTCCAGATGATGGGGGTTTCGGGTAGGGGATTGGGGGTGGGTGGGGGAGACCAAAAGCCAGACAACTTCGAAGACCAATTCATAATAAGTTCCTAGCTTTGAGGTGCTGAGCCCCCACCCACCCACCCAAGTCCCAGAGCACAGAAGCGCAAGGGCAGTGAAGGTGAGGAGGTCAACAAATTAACTCGTCCCATTTAATCCCAAGGGGTTAAGGTAGGTAGGGGTACAAGGCGGGGCAAGGTGGAAATAGGTGGCAGAAGTGGCTTAGGGGAACTGCAGTCATGGACCATCTGGACAGGTCCATCAGCAGATACAGTCACAGAGCCCTCGCCCTCCCAGTAGCGACTGTCCCCCACTTCTCTGCGCTGCACCTCGCCCGAAGAAGTCAGACCTTTAGGGGGCTAGGAAGGCCGGGGAAACGCGCCTCTTACCTGCATTGTAGGCGGCCAGGTCCGCCCCAGGCCCTGGGCTCTTCCGTTTCCGAGGCCGCCCCTTCTGTACTGTGCCCACGCCATTGTAGTAAGGAAGGCCCAAGGTGTTGGCCCCGCCGGCGCCCAAACCCGAGCCCTTGGCTGCAGCTGCCGCTGCCGCTGCCGCCGCCGCCGCCACATCTGCATGGTTGAAGTGGGCCTGGTAGTCACCCTGCAGCAGCGCCTCGAAGTGCAGCCGGCAGTAGACCAGACTATCCTTCATTCCAAAGTGGTCGCCTGTGGTCAGCATCTTGTTGCACGTGGTGCAGGTGAAGCAGTTGAGATGGTAAACCAGGTCCCGGGCGCGCATCACCATCTCTGATGCTGAGATGCCCAGGTGACAACGGGCACAGCGTTGCACAGAGAACCGCCTGGGGTAAGGAGAGAAGGAAAACTATTTGGGGAAGGTGGCTCCCTCTACTCCTTATCATCTGAACAAACCCGTCGTGCTCCCCGCCCCCACCCCGCTCGAGTTCCACCCAACGTCAGATTCTCCACTCTTATCCAGTAGACTAATGGGACCAAGTAGGCCTTGAAGTCTGCAAAGTACTGGGTTCCAAGCGTCTTCCCCTACCCTGGGCCAAGTGTCCTAGGTTTCCCCAGTCTCTCTCCTTCTGACACCTAACACCCCCACCTTTACCGGCCTTCACCAGAAAGCTCCTTGTTTCTCCTAGTGCTTGTGCAAGACCCAAGAGAACCCCCAGTTAGCTCCCACTCCTGCCCTACTCAAAGTTGTCAACACCGGGGACCAAGGGACTTGTCACATGCCCTTGCCCTTCCCCCACCCTCCGCCAGCACCTCCCACACCACTGCCAGTGAGCAACACAGACCTCTGAAACAAGAGGGAATTTGAGAAAGCCAGAAAAAAAGAAAGATTGAGAGAATATAAGAGAAAAGGAGAAAGATGATAAAAAAATAAAAACAAAATGGAAGACCCTAAACATCAAGTGAGAGGGAAAAGTGAAAGGAGACAGGAAAAAAGAGAGGAGGAGGAGGAGAGAGGGAGAAAGAGAGAGATTTTTCCATCAAAATTTATTTTCTATCCTGTCCACACCCGGCAGCTCCCAGTCACTCTGATCGATCCAGAAATCTCTGGAAACCTTTTCCTAAGGATCTCCCATCGCCTCCAACACTAAGTCCAAATATGGCGGGGGAGGGAGGTGGAGGATGCCTACTTCTGAGTCTCCTGAGACTAAAAGGAGAAGCGAATGGAGGCCAAGGGAGACGCTCCTTCTTAGTTTCACTTAAACTTCCAAGTGGGGCAAGGAAGGGAGGGACTCTACCTTTGTCCATCCTTTAAGGAGTCCATCCCCACCCCTACCCTTTTCGTTTCAGAACAGAAACATCCCCCACATCCGCTCCCCCAGCGCAGCTTAGGCCGGGCTGAGTTCACCGCGCTCGGGTTGGGATGGGTCGCCGGCTCCCGTACCTGTAATAGTCTTCTTTGCAGTAAATACTGCCGTCCTTGCTGAAGCAGGTGAGCTCTGATTCCAAGTTGAGTTTACACTCGCAGCACTTCAGGCAACGCATATGCCACTGTTTGTCCACTGCCAGTAGGTAGTAGCGGTCGGAGATCTTACCTCCGCAGCCCGCGCAGAGCGCTGCCCGGTCACTGCTAATGGACGGCATGGTCTGTGGGGAAAAGAGGGCACAGTTAGCCCAAGCCAGGGTCGGTGTCATCTGAAGGCGGCTACCCCGATCCTTTCTCCCCAGGCCAGAGCACGCCTCCTCACTACAACCTACCACCGCTCCTGCTCCAAACGCTGCCCTCTTCTCCACTGTCTCCCCAAAAGGAGGGAAGGTACCCTACAGTTTAGTAAGGCCGATGGGCCTAAAGAAAGAGAAACTTTTACCCCAGGGCTGGTGAAAAGGACCCCAACCCCCACCTCGTAACCGGCGTGAAACCAGACGCCCCAAAGCGGCGCCTTGCTCGCGACCTCTGCCTCCTCTTCGGCCCTGGTCCCAGTCTCTGGGTCTCTCTCCTCCCCTCTCACTCCAGATCTCTCCCTCCCAATCGCCTTCGCTAGCTCTCGCCCTCTCCTTCCTCCCCCTCACCCCCCTTTCTCAGAGTCGCCCTCTCCTCCCTTTCTCTTTTCCTCCCTCCCTCTCTCGCCCTCCCCCTCCCTTTCTCCCGGATGGCTTTGGGGCTGGGGTCTTTAATTCGGCCTACACTGGAGGATGTCAAGGGGTAAGAGAGGAACCAGTGGAGGAAGTGAAGCACCCCCCTCCGTAAAATGTTTCCCCGCCCGGGTCTCACGAGTGACTTTAAAGGGGGTATTTAAAGAGTTTGTGTTCCCCGAAACATCATGATCTCCAGACTGATTTTCTTTAAACTCTTTTGGGGGAGGTTTTTCCGCATCTTCCCTTCCCTCTCCCCAACCCGGATTTAAAGAGAGAGAGAGAGAGAGAGAGAGAGAGAGAAATAAAATACAGTGAGCCCCACACGGCTTTGGAAGTCCGGTGATAGAGAGGAGTCAGGCTAATATCGCCAATGTGAGTCTGGCGTTTGCATTCAAACCAGGACCTGGAGAAATATAGCCTGGCCCCCTTTCTTCTACTGCAAGCGAACCACAAACCCCTAGGCCCTTCAGCTGAGACAGCACCTTCGTGGGACCTTCCTCCTCACCCACCCATTCCTACACACACATTACCAGATCAGACCTTTTTCTACCACAGAAAGGTCCGGCTTTCACAGAAGGCCGGCTAAGGGGTTTGTCACCCCAACGACAGCGGCTCCGTGACCAACAAACAGAACAGTCAACTACTAGAAACTCCTTCACCAGAGCTCTCTCTGCCCGGTAAAAGACCCCTTCCAGTCCCCAGGGGCAACAAGTTCTAGCGAGAAGGAATAGACAGACTTCAAAATGCCCCCGCTCCCTCGGCCCACAGCTCCAGCCCTACCCTGTGGAGTCTTTAATTTATTTTGTCTAATAAGAAAGAGCACTGGGAAAGGAAGGCCGCCTTGCCCGGGATCCAGGCACAGCTCCGCGGAGAAATCGCAAAAGCTGGGCCAGGTTATTTTTCTCTCCCCAAAGGTCACGCCCGAGCCGGACGCTGGGCCTGGCCTGCTCTGAGGACTGGGAAGGGGCCTGCCGGCCTGTCGGAAACCCTAGGATCCCGCGGCCTGGGCCAACCCAGAACCCCAAGCCGCATCTGGGGCCCCAAGGAGAGGGGCGGGTGCCCTTTACAAACGCTGCCGCCCAACTTTGGGGCTCCCCCCTCCAGGGCTGGAAAAAGAAGAAGGGGGTGGCAACCGCCCGGCGCTTGTCTCCCCCACACACACCCCTGACAGACACACACCCTCCTAGACCCAAGACCCCCGAGACTGGGATAGAAGGCGCCGAAAGACAGACAACGAAGCCCTCGCGCCCGAAGTAATCAGTCCTCTGCGGGAATAGTAAGCCAGGTTTTGCCCCTCCGATTCCACGCAGTGGCTGGAAGCTAAAGGGAGCGGGGCTGGGGAAAAAAAAAAAGGCAAGAAGCCAGGGAAGCTCCTACAGCCCGGAGTCCGGAGCCCGGAGCCCGGAGCCCTGAGCCCGGAGTCTGGAGCCGAGCGGAGGACACAAACTGACGGCGGATTGTGCCGGCTATTTCTTTCCTCCAAAACCCGGGTCCTGGCTGCCACAAGGACTAAGGCCCCTCGGGCTGCCCCAGGACAAGAACTAAAGGAGGGCTGAGCGCTGGGCACAACCCAAACTCGGGGGACGCCAAGGTGGGGAAGAGGGCGGTTGTTACCCTCCCTTTCACCCCATGCCACCCAAAGGAGGCAGGTAGTCCTTGTCCTGGGCCCAGTTGGGCCCCTGGCTCTCCCACATCGTGAGAAATGCTAGGCGTTTCTTTCTCTCGTGTCCTTCTTTCTCGTTTTCTATCTCCTTCCTAGGAGGGAGTCGCAGCCCAACAGAAAGCCCTCGCCCTGGGGTGAGGGAATGTTGCTAAGGGCTCTGCTTTTTGCAGCCCCAGCCTGGGCTTCTGAACCCCGGGCCCAGCGAAGGGCGCTCCGGAAAGTACACAGCTCACTTTCCCCAAAACTTCGAAGAGCATCCAGAGGAGTAGGTGTGGGAATCACCAGCTCCGCGTCTCTCCACACACTCACCCCAACCCTGAGATCGTAACTCCCAGTCAAAGCCTCTTCCCTTCTGCGCCATCCCCTCAAGCCCTTTCCTCCCGGATCCCTCAAAGCAAACACGGGGATTAGGTGGTTGATCTGCCTTCTCCTGTTGGCAGTCCGTGACAAGTGTGTGTGTGTTGGGGGGGGGGGGCCGTTGCAGAAGTACTGCAATCAGCATTTGAGGTGATATCGTCTCTCTCCTCTGCCCCACAGCCTCCCCTTTCCCCGTCTTGTCCTGCCCTCGCTCCCCTCCGCATTCACCCCTTCCCTCCTCCTCAGCCCGTGCGCCTACCGTCTCCGTCTCGCCCCGGTCTATGGCTGAGCTGATGGCTGGCGCTTCGCTCTTGGCCCTGCGGTCCATTTCGTCGATGACCCCGTGCACTTCGGGGCCCGACAAGCTGTGGAAGAGCATCTCGGCGGGGCCGGGCCCCCGGGCCGGAGAGAGGAGGAAAACGAGGAGGAGGCTGTGGCTGAGACGCGGGAGAGGGAGCTGGAGGCGCCGCGGGAGGCTGGGGGTGGAGGGAAGGTGGGAGGCGGCTGGCTGGCCCACGAGTGCTGGGGGCTCACCCTAGACCCGAATTCCTCCGGGGGTCGGTTCGCCCTGCGCTCGAGAATGTTAGCGGGCCAGGCGCATCCCTCCTCCCACCGCCTCCCGGGCTGGGCTCTTCTTCGCCCCAACCCAGCCCCGCCCAAGCCCAGCTCCCCTCAGCCCCCCGGGCTGTCAGCGCTGCTTGGAGCAGCCGGCTGAAGGGAGCGGTTCTTTGCGCATGGTCTGCCCAAGTCCCCTCCCGGACGTGCCCCTGGCCTGGGCACCTACATAGCTAGAGGTCTCGGTCACTGAGGGGCAGAGCTGTGGGTGACTGGGGAGAAAGGGAGGCTCGGAAGCGGTGGTTAGATGTCGAGCCCGGGGACCCAGGGAGAAGGGGAACGGCCAACGCCCCCCTCTGAGCGCCCTCAGTCGGCTGGCATTGTCGCTTCGCCTCGGGGTCAGGGTATTGAGCCCTAGGCTATGGGCACAGCGCGAAGCCAGGAGGTCGCAAAGTCTGAGAGGCTGGGTTCTCTACCTCCTCAAACTCCGCCGGTGCCTCTCCTGGGGAGGGGAGGGAAGGGGAGGAGCTAGGGAATACCAAAAGGCAGGCAAGAGATAGAGAGTCAAGGGATGGAGGTAAAGATGAGCCCCCTTTCCAAAAGCGACTCCCTCTCCCCCACCCCAAGTGTCCCGCGTCTCCAAATGCGCCCTGCTCTGCTTATTGTGCCTCTGGCTGATCTGAAGTAGCTGGCCCTCTACGATGTGCGATCAGAGACGCGTGAGTAACTGGGGAGGAGCAGGGGTAGGAAGGGGAGGAGGAGGACGAGGACGAGGAGGAGGAGAAGGAGGAGGAAGAGGAGGAGGACGAAGCAGATCAAGGGAAAAGAAGAGGAGGTGGGGAGGAGGAGGAAAGGAGAGGGAGGAGGGAAGAGGGAGGAAGAGGAGGAGGAGGAGGAAGAAGAAGAGGAGGAGGAGCCGGGATCTCTGCCGCTGCCTGGACCTGCTTGGAGCAATCCCCTTAAAGTGCGAGCTAAGCAGCTACCCCAGCTCTGCAGTCCGGGTGAGCACAAGCCTGCGCGCCTTTTCTACAGCCTCCTCTGACATCACGTCCTGCCGTAGTCCCATTGGCTAAGAACCGCCTCTGGCCCTCGCAGCGCGTGCTGCCTGGAAGACGGGATGCAGGGGAGGGGTGATGTGATGGATTGGAAAGGGATGGAGTGAGTGGTGGGAAGGGGTGGGGGGGCACTGGCTGGTGTAGGGGGGGGAGAGAGAGAAAGAGGAGGTGGTATTGGTAAATTCTAAGCTGCTGATTCCTTCCTGTTTTGACTTTGAGGAAAAGAAAAAAACCTTTCCCCATCGGTTCACCTCTCTTCCATCCCCCCCCCCCCAGTATATTTCTGCAAAAAAAGATGTGGGAAGAATCCTCTCTCTCTCCACCCCTGCTGTGGCTACCGCTGAGTGGCCCTACTCTAGTCCAAGGGAGACTCTCTGGGTTGGGGGGTAGGAGTAGGATGAGTTAGGAGAGGGAAGGCCCAGTCCCTGAAGCTAGCAGTCAACACAGCTTGAATTTAAACCCATTTCACTTCGGGTCACTGTAGGAAATCCACCAGTTTCCCGCCGCTGGCTGATAGGAACATCACATGATTCATCTCTAACATGAGCTGAGCTGGGAAAGGAAGAGCAGGATAAGGAGCAAAGGCGCCAGAAGGGAAGGGAAGGGGAAAGCCAAATTTTTCAATCTTTCTAGTCAAAGAGGAAATAAATCTTTTTTTCTCCTCACTCCCACTTTCATTTAAAACCATACCATTCTTAAAAACCCACTCATTTTTTAACAGAGTCCTTAAACTCTTAGAGACCTTCCGCACAGTAAGTTTTTCCTCATCCCTTGCAGCTAGACAAACTATTGAGGATGTTTCCTGAAGATCATCAAAAATCATCTGGTGTAGTGAGAAAATTCCAGGACTTGTAACCAAAATACCTACCCTTTCTTTCACTTAATAGCCACCTGATTGTGGGCAAAGGAAATCACTTCAACTCTCCTAAGTTTACATATCTTTAGAATGGGACTACCGTCCTTTATTAACCTCAAAAAGTTGTTGTGAAGATTATAATAAAGTGAAATAATGGCCAAAAAAAAATGCTCTGTGAGCCTTAGCCTTCCCTCTCCCTAAACCTTACATAATACTTTGTTTTGTGCCTCTCTGATACTTTGATCACACTTTATACTATTTTAGTGTTATTCGTATATGTATTCTCTTCTAGACTATAATGTGTAAGGACAGATTTTGTCTTATCTGAAATTTTTTATCTCTCCTAATGTTTCATACAATGATATGCACTCAGTAGGCATTTAACATTTATAGTTTGAGTGTGTACAATGGGTGATTAATAAATGTTTGTTGATTTAAATGTGCAATATAGATGTGAATATTATTTTCTTCCCTGATAGAGGTGTTCTTCCCAGGTCTGCTAGATTTACATACTTCCTCTTTCACTGCCATCCCTCCTCTGGACCCTTGAAAAGCCTCCACCCACCACCAACTTTGAAATTCAATGAACCATTTCTGGGGCTCCCCAAGTATGAATTGTGTCTATTGAGAGGATTACAAATAAATGTGAATTCGTAATTGGGTTGAATTAAAAGTAAAATCAGAGTGGTCAGCCCTGATTGGTAACATCATTATGTATATTATAATCACAGATACACACACCCCTTGCTGGAAGGATGTTCAGCAAGAATCCTGTCTTTTCATTTATGGCATTGTGCTAGTGGAAGCTATGGCTCTCTATAATGTTTCACTTAAAATTGTGTTTTCCCTACAACTCATGGATGTGTGTGCCACTAGCAACCAGGAAAGTATATGGCAGAATGAAAAGAGAACTGGTTTTAGAATCCAACAATTCAGTCTCTGCTTACATGCTACCCATTATCTTAGTTAAGTTGCCTGATCTTTCTGACTCTCAGTTTTCTTATCGATAAAATGAGGATAGATTAGATGATGTTTAAAGTCTATTCCAAATCCAAATCTTGTCTTCTTAATCTCTACCATGAAGGGTATTATTCTCTGAGCTAGATCTCCAGCACATTAGAAGGAAAAACATCTAGTCACTGATGAAGTGATTTTTCACACTTATACACATACAATATAACCAGTTTTAACTCTGTGTGTTTCCAATGCCTAACACAGAGCTCTGTCCATAGTATGTAATCAATCACTAAGTAAACATTAAGTTCCTACTCTGTGCCTGGCACTGTGCTAAACAATGGAAATACAAAAAAGACCCAAAAGACAATCACTGCCCTCAAGGAGTTTACAATCTAATTGTTGTTTGTGCAATGAATGTACACATGTGCAGAAATATACACATGAGTAAATGTTTATAGACATAATTAGTACTATTCCATTCAAAGACGGTAGCTTCTCACTACTTAATCTGAAGGCTGGGGGAGGGTGGGGAGGTGGTAGATCATGTAAAAGTCCAAAATGGGATCTAGAAGTCAAAAAGCAGATTTTATGCTCTATTTTATCAAATATATTTTCTAAAATCAAACCACCCTGACGGATTTTAATTCTGTAGATTTAGGAAACATGGTATACTAGCATGAACACTGACCTTGCCCTCAAGAAACCTGAGTTCAAGTCCCAACTCTGTCACTTCCCAACCACGAGACCACAGGCAAGTTGCTTTCCCTGATCCTCAGTTTTCTAACACTATTACATGGAAATAACATTCTTGCATTATCCTTCTTCCAAGGATTGTTATGAGGAAAGCATTTTGGAAATAGGGAAAGAACTATAGAAATGCTAATTATTATGATGACCAGCAATTAATTTTACATTCTTAGAGTTTAAGAGTTGTGATTTCCATGAGGGGGGAGGGTTGAGGTGGAATAATTAAACCCGAGTGTAATCAAATGTTCCTGTGGTGTCCTAACATACTAAATGGATATCTGGGGGTAAGAGAACAATAACAACAACTAGTTACATAATCTGAATCTTTGCTTATTTTTATTTACCTTTTTCTCTATCCAAGAGAGCAAACTGAAGTTGAGTTATAGCCCAGGGAATTCGGGGCCAACAGTTCTGATTACTACTGTGTACTGTGGCTAATGATCTCTTAAAGTTTGATTCTTATTTTTTAATATAGCTATGGGATGAGATTACTGCCTCCATCCAAACTCTTTCTACTTAGAATCCATTAAGAAGGTATATTATTGCCCTCCAGTTCACAGGCCAGCAACTTTGATAATCTTCCTAAGTGATGTAAAAACAGGAGAAGACATCTAGTTCTGTCCACTGAGACAAAGCAAACAGAGTAATAGACTGTAAACACAGAGCTGGTGGTATACATCCTGACACATGAATGGCATTAACATTGTTCAGAATAAGAAGCTGGACATTGTTGTATAATAAACATAAAGAAGTGGGGTGTGGGAGGACCTTCCCCCCTCCTTGACAATGCAAATTATGTTGCCACATGAAATCGGGAGTCCTGAAACAGAAAATTATTCACCATCTCAAAAGGTCACTAAAATTCTTTCTCTTTTTTTTAAATTGCATTTGGTTGACTAGAATAAAATCCTCTTAACCTGTATTTTGTAGTAGGTGACAGGTGAACTAATAGCAGGTCTGGAGTTTCTCTACTCTGGCTCACCGAGGTAGCGTCATCTTCACTACCATCTGCTACCTACCAGACAAACAGACCAACCACATAATGAGGTACCAGCTTCTACCCAGCTACCGTGACTAAACCAGAACAAAAGAACTCAACGCCTCCTTCAACAAAGGGACACAAGTCTAAGCTGTCTCTGCTAATTGCTGGGTTTCAGGTTGTCGGTTCCAGATTTCAAGTGAGCTGCCAACTTCCACCCGGACTTCCTA